GGTGGGCGCGAAGGCGGGGGGGAAGGTCGATCCGGTGCCCCGGCGCGCAGCGGGCGCAGGCCGACGTGGCCCCTCTCTAACGGCTGCAGCCTTCCTGCCCGCTCCTGCCATGCTCCACCCGCCCAGGCCGCAGGTCTGGGCCTTAGGCGGGCTCCTGCCGCAGCAGGGCCCTGCCGACCCCTCAGGCTGCCCGCTGGAGAGGGGGGACACGGTCCCGCTGCCACCGGGACCAGCCGCAGCACGGCAGCCAGGCCGTCAGGGGGTAGGGCGAAACGGGTGAGACCTTGGGGACGTGGCGAGCAAAGCCAGAACCTTTGTCCTTCGTGTGACAGGTGAAGGTGTGAGGCCCAGCGCACCGCCTGCCGCACACCCTCACCCGTCCCACACAGGCGGCGCACACCTGGGGCTGCCTTGTGCCTTGCCGCTGTCGTTTCTCTGAAATACTGGCTGTTGGCAACAAACACCGTGAGGTGTGAGGTGTACGGACCAACACACCACGATTTATCAGTGTCCGTGGCACACCCGCTGGGTTTCCCCCATGCCACAGCCCTGTGCCTGGCTACAACCTGTTAACTGGATATGCCACACTGACAGCGTGTCACCCCCAAACCACGTGCCGGTCACGCTTATTGACACAAACCACCCCGTGCATCAGCGGTCCTCCCTCCTTCCCACCACCCGTACCACCGTGAGTGGTTGAACTGGCACTTGCAACACACAACTGCCTGCTGAGCGGGGTGCCTTGAAAGTCCCCCAACAACCTTACATCTGCTAATTGCCTTACAGAACCATAGAATGGTTAGAGTTGGAAGGGACCTCAAAGATCATCGAGTTCCAACCCCCTGCCCTGGGCAGGGACACCTCCCACCAGACCAGGTTGCTCCAAGCCCCATCCAGCCTGGCCTTGAACCCCTCCAGGGATGGGGCAGCCACAGCTTCTCTGGGCAACCTGTTCCAGTGCCTCACCACCCTCACAGCAAAGAATTTCTTTCTGGTATCTCATCTAAATCTCCCCTCTTCCCATTTAAAACCGTTACCCCCTGTCCTGTCACTACCCTTCCTGACAGAGTCCCTCCCCAGCTCTCCTGTAGCTCCCTTCAGATACTGGAAGGCTGCTATGAGGTCTCCCAGAGCCTTCTCTTCTCCAGGCTGAACAACCCCAGCTCTCTCAGCCTGTCCTCATAGCAGAGGTGCTCCAGCCCTCTGATCATCTTTGTGGCCCTCCACTGGACCCATTCCAACAGGTCCATGTCCTTTCCATGTTGAGGACTCCAAAGCTGGACACAGTGCTCCAGGTGAGGGCTCAAGAGCGCACTTATGTCCTTCACGCAAGCAATATAAAAGAAATGCTGCCTGCAGGAAACTGTCACATATCTGACAGTCCCGGCACAACCAGCTGCCTGGTCCAGGTGACAGCAGGATATTCCTAAGAATTCCCAGATATTTGACTGGTTTGACGTCTGCCGTATGTACAGCAAACCCACACTGTGGCCCCGCAGGCACCTAGGGGCACGTATACGAACTGCACATATATCAATCATCGCTCATGTATGTGGCACGCTGAGCTCCGTTCCATCCACCCGCTCCACCTAATCCCTAATCACCTCCACAGCCCTTTGCTGGACTCATCCAGTATGTCCATGCCTCTCTCATACTGGGGAGCTCAGAACCAGAGACAGTACTCCAGGTATGATCTCACCAGGCTTCACCACACACCCAAACATATTAAACTTACTGCCCTCATTCTGTGAATTTTTCCTTCATCATCCTCCATAACCTCTATAGATAGAGCACACACAGTCCGTGCCCTGGGGGAACAATGTGTGTCTTGCTCAGCAACCCACGTTACACTCCCAACCGTGCAAAGACAGGCCATAGCCACTTGGTCATGTCTGATACTCCCCAACGCCCATCCTGTCACAGATGTAATCAGTTCAACCCACTTTCTTCTGCCTCTTAAGCACGTGGTGGTTCCGTCCAAATCATCTTAATGATTGGCTGCTAAATGATTAATGGCTGGAGAGCAGCCCTGAGGAGAAGGCCTTGGGGGTGCTGGGGGATGAGAAGCTCAACAGGAGCCGGCACCGCGCACTGGCAGCCCAGAAAGCCAACCCCATCCTGGGCTGCATCAAGAGAAGTGTGGACAGCAAGTCGTGGGAGATGATTCTGCCCCTCTACTCTGTGCCCGTGGAGTACTGTGTCCAGCTTTGGAGTCCTCAACATGGAAAGGACATGGACCTGTTGGAACAGGTCCAGCAGAGGACCATGAAGATGATCAGAGGGCTGGAGCACCTCTGCCATGAAGACAGGCTGAGAGAGCAGGGCTTGTTCAGCCTGGAGAAAAGGCAGCTCCGGGGAGACCTTAGAGCAGCCTTCCAATATCTGCAGGGAGCTACAGGAGAGCTGGGGAGGGACTCTTTGTCAGGAAGTGCAGTGACAGGACAAGGGGTAACGGTTTTAAATCGGAAAAGGGGAAATTTAGATTAGATACCAGGAAGAAATTCTTTGCTGTGAGGGTGGTGAGACACTGGAACAGGTTGCCCAGAGAAGCTGTGGCTGCCCCATCCCTGGAGGGGTTCAAGGCCAGGCTGGATGGGGCCTTGAGCAACCTGGTCTGGTGGGAGGTGTCCCTGCCCATGGCAGGGGGGTTGGAACTCAATGATCTTTGAGGTCCCTTCCAACTCTAACCATTCTATCTTAATTCCCCCACAACAGACACTTTACACACCCCGTGCCTCCCCAGTATAGCTCATCTACACACGACGCATCCAGAGCCATTTCAGACAGGCTGTAAAACCTGCGATTGCAGGATAAAGATGTGCCATCCGGACCTTTCACGCAGTACCCCCAATATTTAACTGACACAAGGGAACCAATTTCCACAGTAGTAACTATATATGATACGACAGAATCCCCTAAAATCTGCTGCAATGTTCATGCATTCATTTGTTCCTTTATTTTGCATACCTGCAGAATGAGGTACCGCGGTATCACACTCCTACTTTGGTGTACTTTCTGCACAATCATAGCTGGTAGTTAAAACACAATGCAAACACGATTGGGCATTTCCAAGACTGACTCTACTGAACGTTTTTTCATTTGGTTCTGCAAACATCCGGGTTCTACTCCCCAAACCTCAGGTGTGATTCAGACAGCTCTTCTGAGAACTATCTGCCTCATCAGTATCCTATAGAAGAGGCTACCTCACAGATACTGTCAGTGGCCAAAATCCCCGCTTACTCACCCAGACATCATCTGATGCTCCCCTGTCTGCACAGGTTTCTGGCCAAGACTTCTGGCTTCTCATTAGTCCATGGCTGCAAGCCAGAG